GTCTCTACTGTCAATGATATTATCACGTGACAATGAGAAATTTACAATGGCGATGAATACTTTATGCAACTAATCGTAACTCCTCTTTTCAACAGACTGCGTATCCACCTAACCATTACGTCAGACGAGTACCACAACGCTCTATGCACTTCTTCACATTTTTAGAGATGTGCTGTCTTGTTGTAGTGTGTATGTTTGGACTTGCCTATGAGACGGCAGTGAAATTATGGTTTCCTTTCATTCTTTTAATGCTTATACCTCTCAGGTAGGTGGTAAGGTACACTATGTGTTGTGATGATAACGAGTGTTAGGTGTCACGTACTATGCTATGGTGATTGGCGGATAGTAACAAGCGTTAACAATAGAATTAGAATAAGCTTATTATATTTCTGTTGGATGATGTTCTTGTAGATGGCGCTGTTTCCAGTTTGTTCAAGGCAAGATTACAATGCGATTGGAACAAATATTGCGTAGCAGGGGGTGTTACGTGGTGTGTGCTGCTTATGTGCTTGTTAATAATGTTTTTCAAATCTGTTAAAATTACATCATGAGTAGTTTTAAGAGTAAGAGTGAGTTTGCCGCGGGTGTAAATTTTACTGTCTTAAATTATGTCTATATTCAAGTCTTTTTGTCCAAGCCACCGTTCCATTGAAGATAAATAATGTACGATGATGGAACAATCAACAGATTGAATATAATCTGTACTGTAAAGATCCACATAAATATACAAGAAATCCATATGCAAATAATAATATTTTACATAACCAATTCTATGTTATTGTATGGGCTTTACTCATACACTTTACTTAAACATCTTGTATTTGAATGAAAATTAGTTTCAATTGTCGATCCAACAAAGTATTCAAAATTGTATCATTGTTGGTGACGCCATATTTATAAAATTTTTAATCTAATTCTTTTTAGTGATGGATCAGGAGTAGTCTAGCTAGGGGTTCAGAAGTTGACATAACACCCATTTAAATAAAAACGGACATCAAATTATTCACAAATTATAATAGTAGATATTATAATGTATATTTCAATTCTTTGTTTCAGGCAACTTGTCTTCCCGAAAATAATAAAACCAGAGTATCTGCTTGACCTGGATCAACATTAGGACTATTTCAAGTGGAAGATATATATTGCAGTGCATGCCGGGAGTGTATGGCTAACTTATATTGAATCATTTACGTTGTTTTATTTTTCACATTTATGCAATTATTTCTTAAATGATTTTGGTGATAATTTGAATTTTAATATATCCAGTTAAATATCAGTTAGTTTCTAAGGTGCCTTGACATTATAATGTCCACGTGCACACATGGTAGTGTGATGGAGTGAATCTTTCAATAGCGCATCTGATTTCCCGCCATTTTCGAGTCATGTACATACTTAACTGAACAAGATCGCAAGATTTTAGAATAACTAATTGTTTCATTATGCTTTTGTATCTTAAGATTTCCCAACAGGTTTTGCAATACGATATAATGCGATGTCAATAATTTCATAACCTTCAATTTGTAATAAACATTCTTCGTGCTAAATTGTCATTTCCGGAAAGGTTTCCCTTTTCATAATAATCGAAATATTGGTTCCATTCGTTGTCGTTTCTTTTTTTTTGAATTATCGACCGTGTTATATTATGTGGTTATCATCTGATTGTGAATCGGCGTAAGTATGATTTGATGATGTTTTGTCATAATGTAATCTACTAGATGTATCATTTCCTGATGATTTGGAAGAATTCCTTGACATATTTTGTTGCTTAATTGAACAGTAATGATTTGTTTTTTTCATCGCAAAGTTCATCGTTAAAGCAACGTAGTTCACGTATAAATTGTACATTATACACTGTAAATGTTTTACAATTTAAGACATTTTTGTCCCCGCTTTAAAATCACTTTAAGGTAGAAGCCTAATCATTAATGCACATATCCAGAATTTATATATTTTGTAATGAATCGCGTTCCCGGGCAATATAAGGATATTGGAGTCACCAGCCTTATTTCTGGTAAAATGATGGTTGTATTTTAGTGGATATTTGCTTTTTTACAGTGGTATATAAAAACACTTGTACCATAAGTTCCTATGACAGAGATATTATGTCATATCTAAAATTATAGGCCGGTGACATAGGCTGAAAAATATATAATGTTCATATATTGAATTTTTTTTTAAATTTTAAATGCAATTGTTCTTTATTATTTCTTTATTATTGGAATTATCTAAAAATAGCAGTTTTTGAAAAATATTAGGACAAGTTTGAAAGGTGCTTTCACTAGAAATACACTTTGCAAAGTGTCAAGACACATTGAATAATATCTCAGCCAAAGACATGTTTATCTATATTCTGTATTCATTATTCGCATTTTTGCAATAAAAATGGGAGTTTTCTATGTTACTTTTCCAGTAAATCTGACATTGGTTTGTTAAAATTGACTTTTTGTCGGGAGACAAGGAATAGGATTTATTGTAAGCGGTTTAGCGTTGTGACGTCTTTCAATTCAATCACTGGTCAGATAAATTCGCTTTTCTGTCTTTTAGGACAAAAGCTTTTGAATTTCAGAGCATACATTGCTGCAATAGTTTGTTTTTGTGAATGAAATAAACCGGGACTGTGAGAAGTCGATTTTAGATAATAAAAACTGTCTGGGAGAAATCATTGTCCTGTCTAATGTTGTAAATGTGGATTTTGTTTAAATGGACGTGAACGAACCTAATTTTGGACATGTAGTTTTATCAAACAGATTTAATATTATTGGTATTCGACTATTATGATTTGTGTTGAAACACAACCAGTGAAAAAAATTCCCGCGGTTGTTGAATTAATGGACGTTGTCTCACCCAATAATCAATTCGGCATGTCGCCCCGTAAAAGAGCTATTTGTATATCTTCAGTACGAGCGAGAATCTTAGAATCACACATCGCCTCAAATCATCTGTTATTGTCTAATGGCATTACAAGTGTCGCAAACTCCGAGTTTATTTTGACAGAATATTTCTCCAAAAAATCCTCACCTAGAATTAAAATTTGAAGAAATTCAGGGAGAACGTAAATCATTAATTGTACTCTATGTGAATCGAGTTTTGCAGATCATGTATGAACAATGCCAGCGATGTGTTATTTTTGACCAGATTTTCCTTGATTAATATTTCGGCATTTCAAAGTTGGCAATCGAATTTGATGACATTTGTTGTCTTAAGGTTGGGTTAGGTAAGCCCATTTACGATATTGGTAGAATGTGGAGAATTGCGATCTGAATGAAATTAATCATATCCAGTGACATTCACTCTTACAACAAATTCTAATTCCGAACAAACTTGTAATGTTTCGGCAACCGAATCCGTTGCCGGTATTTTGGCAAAATGTTGAGTGAATGGGTCCTATGAATGAGACGGCTTTTTCTAAATCTCAAAAGTGCCCTTTTCTGCAGGGTTTTGTACCAATCGCGGGCTATTCGAATGAGAATAAAGGATATAACACCGGATATATTTTTGCCGGGTTAAATCTATGATACTCGCAACATTTGTTATATCTTTCCAACCACGAATGTATTTTACATTGTTTTGTTCCGTCGTGGGGTAGGTACATGGGACATGGCTCGTTTTCAGTTAATTGATCGGCGTCAATTTTATTTGAGTGATTTGATATGCTCATGGATTTTAAATCTTGTAAATCAATAATAATCATATATTAACATATCAGACAAAGCCAATACATTCACTGGTTATCAAAGGAGTTAATTTGTCGAATCTGATTGGGAATACTATATGGGGAAAAATCGGGAATTTGACTTGCTTGCAGGTGGTCATAGGATACACACATTCCAATCATGTTCCAGACATTCAATCAATTAATCAATCAATCATAAACATTTATAAAGCGCCTGGATTCCAAACTAAATTCTGTTCAAATGCGCCGAGGGAGTTATTCTCCATTATAGGCTTTGTTGAATAAATATGTTTTCAGTCTAAATAAAGTTGGCATCAGTGACTTGAAGCATGCCAGATATTCCAAAGTTGAGGAGCAATGGAAGTCCCCATGTGCAAAAAATAACCAATCGCCATTGCTACTATGTTCCCTGTTCGAAATAACTAAAAAGGGCCGGGTCTCTGTTCATCGAGTCTTCTCTGCTCAAATCTCTCTTTTCTTTAGCTTCTGTCCCGGGGGGGGGGGTACTCACATAGTTGAAGTATACTTCTATGCGCCGCTGTTTTGATGTCCCATTTTGCGGTGGAGCCGATCTTTCTGACCTCCAATTTTAAGATTTTTTGCCATTTTAGAAAAAAACACAATTTCTGGGACAAAGCCATTTACGTCGAACTTTTTTGGCCCAGTTTGTAACTGGATGCGGAGCACTCTCACCCAAAATCAAATCGAGTACCCGTGAGGGGTAGCCTGAAATGTAGGCGTGAGTAGGCCAGCCGAACGACACGTGGAGGGCGCAACTCACGCGACATTGTCAGGCTACAGCGAGGGGCTTCCGTCATTTTTTTAATTGTTATTCAAATCAGTAGCACGATTGACGCATACTAGTAACTAGATTCGCGCCCTCAGACGTATTACATGTGCACGTGAATCCGATAACAATGTGATAAGGCCATTGTAGATTTTCAATATTTGCCACTGAAAACTACATTTATATTACTGGTCTTCAGGTTCCTTGGTATTTAATGGCGAAAGCCGTAACAATTCAGCAATAGTGACATTTACAGAAAGATAAATAACGACGAGAGTGGATAGAATGGCCGATGTGTCAATGCTGGATTTCAACCGTATCAGAGGAAGATGATTCGATGGTGACGACAGGGAACCCAATAACAGTCTGAGTTTCTATGCCTGCTCTCCATAAATATCTGACATTCCCTTTGATTCAATACCTTATTTTTGTTTGTGTTGTTCCTTGGGTCAACACATGTATTGACATACAATCATAAAGTTCGTCTGTTGCATACACTTACTCTATACACGGTCTAAATTGTATATTTGAAGTAAATGAAGGATTCAAGAATTAATTTTGCTAGTTCGTCTAATTACCTAAAACATTCACTGGCTGTGGTGACATAAATATATACTAGTATATCAGCGGTTTTAAACGCTAAGATTTATAATCGGACTACGTAATGAAGAAGACTAGATAACGCCCGTAAGCTGAATTCACGCCGAATCAAAATAACCGTGTCTTGTTGTATTCTCAACAACCTGTACTATGTTATGTTATATATCAGAGGCGGCGGCACGAACGAGATCTGCTCACAAATCTTGCGCCGAAGGCGCGACCTTACTGGGGAGTGCGGGGGCATGCTCCCCCTTAAACATTTTGAAATATAGACCCTCAGAAAGGCTATTTACTGTCTTTTTAGGGGCAAATGTTTCTGACACAAAGGGGTTCAGCTTGATTTGGAAGGGGCGACGCCCGTACTACAGTGTAGTAGTATTTTTTTTAATCAAATGTGCCTCAGACTTTTTATTTAGCGTAGTCCACTATGAACTCTAGGGAGTAGATCTCGACTCCCCATATTACAGTAACATCAGTATGAAAAGAAGTATCTCAAAACTGGATACTGCACAACAAATATATGCGGTACTACTAGTAGTCGTCGCGCCTCGCATGCTAGAGATATATGGGTCTCATATAAACAAAGATGGTGAATTCGACTGTTCGGCAGATCAACGAGTACAAACTGAGACGTCACCAAGCTTTAAAGGGTGGTAGTCGTCGCGCCACGCATGCGCGAGATATATGGGTCTCATATGAACAAAGATTGCGACTTTGGCTGTTGCGCAGATCAACGAGTACAAACTGAGACGTTACCGTTTCCATTAAAAGAGCGCATCGAATTATGAACAAATCAGTGTTTATCAACACAAATGTCGCACATGCGCAGCAAAGACTACCGCCCTTTAATTCTGTTGTCATTGTTCTTATATGCTTTCAGGATTTGCTTCTGTGAAGATCACCACGGCAGACGACTTCTTCATCTACCTATACGTCACTGCTCTGAATCGGTAACCTCCGTGGTGGTTGAGGGTCGTGTTGATCTATCTCGACCCATCATCACCATAATAATAAACTTTATTGATATCGTATCCTTCATAGGATCTTGAGTTAAATT